TTAGGATGCTTATTTTTAAAGTTTTTGGGTTTGTTTTTTTTAAATGTAGAGCTTTCTTAAGACTCCATGGCTAAGAGATGTTAGTATCATAAGACTCAAAAGATAAAATACTGTCTTGACTGTGGCCAAAATGTCACTGGGTAAGCCTCCATGTGACACTTTATTTTCTTCTTAATCTCAAATCAGTTTGATAACTAAACTTTGTCTTACTCACAAAATCCCAGGAAGCCACAGATTTCTTAAATTTAAAAAAATCTACTTATACGTCAGGAAGCTTGTATATAAATTATACCAAAGGAAAAGCATGTCCTATGGTAGTAAAATTCTTTATTACATTAAAAATTAATGTTTAATTACCTACTAAAATAAGAATAATGTAGGCTATAAAGAAAAAGTCAAGAAATACACACCCATATATTTTTTTTAATTTTCTAAAATTAAACTACATTAAATAATTTTTGTGCTTTCCAACTTCACATTAAAAAAAAACTTCACATTATTGTGTGGGAATTCTATCCAATGTCTCAGAATGTGTAACATAAGTGCAAGGTATTATTAGATAATAATATTCATATATTTCTGTGATTAAAATGGAAACTGTATGAATATAAAAATTTTCATTTTCCTATTCACTTTCTCAATATAGCCCTAAATCTAGATGAAAAAGCGACCCTAGTAAGAAAAAGTTATCTCTGCAGATAAGTCAATGACACAAATCCACATCTAAAATTTAAAAATAAGCCAAAATTCCTTTTTCAAAAAGCTTTTCAAATTCAAAATCTTGTCAATAAACAGATGTACCTTAGGAGTAACAACACACATCCATGTCGTAAAAAACTGAACATTCTCTAAATTGACAAAATTTAAAATGCCCTTTATCTTCCTTTCATGCCACACTGTAGAGACACAAGTGCTTAAAAGTACTTATTAAGTACTTAGCAAGGTCAACAATACAAAACCAAAAACAAAACTCTGCAAGCTTTGAAAAAAATGCATTAAGTAGTCATAGTATAACCAGTTACTTAAATTTACTATTTATAATATTTATAAAAAGGTTAGCTTGCAGAAATAAAGCTTACCATTCACTGAAAACTCAAATGCTGGGCATGATTAATAACAAAGGAATAAATCACCTTAGTTGCTCTTTCAAATATAACAGACTATTTTTTTTTTTTAACTGAAAACTGCATTGCATTAAGAAGCAGATTTTATGGATAACAAATTCTAAACCTTTTTAAAGCTTTAATAATTTTAACTTTTTTAACGGTCTAAAAGAGACTATTTTTTTGTTTTAAAAAAAACCCAACGAGTAAGTATCCATGGTAACTTATTTTCCTCTTGATAGACAAAAATAATCTAAAATAATCAATGGCGCCTGCTAAGATTTTTTTAAACTTGTTTTCAATTAGGCATTTTTAGCTCATTTTAAAAAAATTACCAGTGTCTCAGTTTTCTTTCCAAGTTGTTTTCCATGATCATGATGGACCTCTTATTTTTTCATTTCATTGTTGTCTTATTTCATTGATAATTTTATTAAAATAGGAAAACTTCTGCCCCAAACCACTTCATTCATTACCCAAAACACAAACTTTGAAATATTTCGGCAATTCATTTATGCATGCAAAAATAGTGTGTGCATATGTTACATGCACAACATAGTGAACAAAGTATGAAAAAATAGAACCAATCCTTTGCCTCGCTTGCAACTTAATCCACTTGCATTCATTATACTAAACATGCCTAACTTTGAGTATTCCCCTTCACCTTGAACTTTCACAGAAAGCTCAAACACTTTCATAATAATGAAGTGATGTGATGTGATGTGGTGTAAAGAGCCAGGTAACAGGTTTGTCACTTACGCCTTGGACTTCTCTAGGCCTAAGTTTTCTCTCTCGTAAAATAAAGCAGTTGGACTCTATCTCTTCTATGTAAATAGGCTGTTAGGTCTTTTGATCCAGATTCTATAATTTAAAAAGACCTGGGTTCAAATACTGGCTTTGCTATTTACCGGCTGTGTGATGTTAAGCTACTTAACCTCAATTTCCCCCTCTGTAAAAAGGAGTTACCAGTACTAACCACATACAACTGTTGTGAGGATAAAAGGAAATCATGCATGTAAAATACTCAGCATAGCACATCATAAAAAGACAACTATTAGAAGCTATAAGCATGATCATTATCAATGTTATTATAAACTCTAGAAACTGAGTGTACTTATAATCAGATTTGACAATTCACTCCAGAATGACCAATCTCAAAGGTAACCAACCAATTTCCCTTACCCAAAACTCACTGTATTTGATCAGCATACGAATATATTTAACTTAAGGTCAAAAAAAAAAAAAAAAAGCTATCACAGGCAGCAGGTAGGCTGATGGATATGGTAGAGCAAAGTCTAGGTTTTAGTTAAATATCATCTAACTAGAATATCCTTCTTCATGATACGAATACCTATCCAAGGAGCTAGAATACTCATGACAGCTGGACAAGGGACCCTGATCATTATGAATTGCTGAATACATGGGAATACACATTTTTTTGGTAATTAAAGTTTCCAAAGTGAGTTTTTCATTTAAAGATACGATTTCTCATTTTCCCAAAAATGTATGGTACTGATAGTTCAAACACATAATCTACAATTTAATTACAAATAACATGTCAAATGAGTGGAGATATAAAAATTAATTCTCCATAAAAGTAAATTCCAAAAAAGCTTACTTGAATGGCTTTCTGAATGGAACTTTTCTTCACAAAATTTTCAAAGATTCTGGCTGAATATGATCAAATCAAAATATTCCAAGTTGTAAATCTGGCCTTTATATTAAAAGTACTGATGAAGTACCACACTAACAATATTCAATTTAATTTTTTCAAAAGACCAAGAACACATCCTAAACTTCTATATAATAACTGAAAAGATGTTGCATTCAGATTAAATCAATATGCAGTACAACTGGTTTGAGTCCAACAAATTATAATTTTAACAAGCTTTCCTGGTATTAGAGAAGTTTCAATATCAATATGATGGATTAAAGTTTAGATTACCCCAATTACAATTATAAAACAAGAGGTCACGTACATTTAATCCTTTTTAATACGAAAATAAGAGGCTCCAGTTATTATCTACTGTAAATTTGTCAGAATTCAAACCTTTAAACCGCCCAAAAACTTGAGAATAGTAACTATTTTAAGTCACATAGTAGTTATATTTGAATACATTAAAGAGTTACTGTAGCTTTCCTAAGTGACCTGATGTTCCCACCAAAAAAAAAAAACAAAAAAACGGCACCTCAATGAGGCTCTAAGAACTGCATGCCTACTTCACAGATCATTGCAGTGTGCTTAATTGGCATTTGTAGATTGCATTGAGCAAGCTACATGAAAGAGAAGGGACGGAGGAGACACAATTTATAAAAAAAGGAAACACTTAACACACCCCTCACCTATATGCAAGAGCTATCAGAAACACCATTTAAAAATACTACACACCTTTGTAATTTTCTAACATTCAAGCAGATAATCTATGACAAGCATATCTTCCTATCCTTTCTCTGCCCCACAGTGCTTTGCCAAGAGCACAAGCCCAAGTAAAATAACCGATGCAATTTCCTTGTTTACTTAAAGAATTGTAGAAAACATGTTGACTGCTTCAGAGACCTCTGAAACAAATGAATATTAAAAAGACTTCATGGTAATGTTTGAAAAAAGAGTGGTAGTGATTCCTTCAGCTAGTAAAAATACAGCCTTAACTTTATAAAAAGGGTTAAATTTTACACTGCCGTTCATTAGCATGCCTTATTTGCAACCAGAAGGAAGAAAAGGGGGTGGGGGGTGAAGACAGCAAAACACACAAGATGGAAAACATCACTAACTCTTTTGGTGGTTATGAATAATTTTAAATTACCCAAGGAATGGAAGAGAAGAGTTCATGAATAGAAAGGGGGTTAACAATCTGAACTGGCCCCTTCCAGATTCATACTGATGTCGGAAAGAAGGAATTTATTTACACTGCAGTGCCAGGCAGCAAACATGGCTGCCCCTGCCCCCTTTAAATCTGAATAGTCTTCACTTCCTTACCAAAATCATCAAATTATGGCCATGCCTCTCCGTCTTGCTACCTACTATAACACTAACATCTCCTCCTCCCTCAAAACAGTAAAATCCACACCTCCCCATTTCACAACAACCACAATACCATAACCACTAGCTTTTCTATTCTCCAGCCTTGAAAGAAGAGGTACAGAATACAAATATTGGAACAAAAGGCTTTCCCTTCCTAACACTTTAACAAACCGGTTCCCCTTGTTTTCCTTCCACTCATTGATGCTTGGTCGCTAGTTCTCATCCTTCTCAACATTCAGTTAATTTCCTTCCCGATCCCAATCTTAAGACTTCCAGTTTCCTGAGTCTATTTCCTATCTTCCGTTTGCATCCTGTCTCAATTATTTCTCATTCCTTTCCGAATCCACCTTTTCCTTCACTTTCATTTCTCCGTTTTTCCTTTGATGCCCATTTCTCCATCAAATTCTATCTCCTTCCTCCAGTCTTCTAGCTCCCAACCTCCACTCTCAAACCTCCCTATTTCTCAGTCCGTCCAGGTCTCTCTAATCCTCTCCAAACCTAACTCTGCTCCCCTTTGCCTGCCCCTCCCCCGTTCTGTCTTTATCCCCGCCCCCATCCCACCTCTACTCCCCAATTCCCAGCTCAGCGCCACTCCATCTCTTATCCCAATCCTACCTTCCCTGCCCCACCTCCCGATCCCCTCCACACCCCCCACCTTGCCATCTGCTCCTCCTTCCAGACTCCCCTCCAAGCCTTGCAGGCCACCGCTTGTACTCCCATTCCGGCTAAGGTCTCTCTGCCTACCCAGGTCCCATCCCTATGTTGTCTCCTCCTCGTCGTTCCCTCCTCGGCCCTTCCTTCCAACACATACACACACGCACACACACACACACACACACACACGCACGCATGCACGCACACGCACGCATTTACTTTACCTTCAGTTTGTTCCATTCTAACCCCCCGGCCGTGTCAGTACGATCACAGGAGAGACACGGAGGCCCGGAGTGGGGCTGGGGTGCGGGCGGCCGCCGGGGCCGCGGGGGGAGGAGACGGAATCAAGCTAGGCCGCATGAAATCCCCGGGCTAGATTTCCCCCGCGCCGGATGCCTCTGCCATGACCGCAGGCACGGAGGAGGGCCACGGCCGGGCCAGGCCGGGCCGGGCCAGGCGAGGAGGGGAGGGGAGGGGAGAAGAAGGGAGACGAGGAAGGCTGCGGGTGGTGGGGTAGGAGTGGAGGTGGAGGGATAGGGGGGTCGCCGCGCAGCCGCTGCTGCCAGAGAGGAGCCTGTGGCTGGCGGCCGGGGCAGCAGAGTTCGGGGCTCCCGCTCCCGCGCTAGAGAGAAACATGTGTCGTTTCCGATCACAGCTCTTCACGGGGATTTCCGCTGCCGTCGCCGCCCGCTCCCGCCGCCACCACCAACGCCGCGCACAAAGCCCCCCCCACCCCGACTCTCCGAGCGCCGCCGCCGCCAAATCTTCAGCCCCTTATTGGCTACTGGCCGCGGCGCCTGCCGGGAAATGCAGTCCCAGGTTTGGGGCGCGGGGGGCGAAAGGAGGAAGAGGCCAGTTAGCGGGGAGGAGGGGCCGGAGCGAGAACGAGAAATGTGAGCGGCCCGAGGGACTCTAGACGAGAAGTGAGACCGAAGGCGATAAAAGCAGAGAGACAGGAAGGAACGATGCGGAGAGTAAAAACAAAACTAGAAGACAGAGAAGATAGGTTAAAGGTTGGGCCTGGGAGGTAAAATTGTGCTCGTACGTGTTACTTATTAAATAACAGCACGTATTAAATACCATATGGTATTCCTCAGAGTGATTGTCATACAATCCCTATGTGTTAGAAATAACGTACAAACGGGCGCCCAGTTAAGGCGACCGGGAACTTTCTGCTCCTCCTTGTCTTCTGTCCGACAGCTGTCAGAGAAGAGCTGCCTATTCCACAGCGTCTGCGTTTGGACACCATGGCAGCAATTTCAGACTTGAGCCTTGGGGGGCACTCTTCCTTTCTGCCATGGATGTTTCAGCCGGATGCTTCCCCCGCTCCCCATCGCAAGCATTAGAAGATCTTGGCGGCATCTCAGTCTCTGGGGGGAAACGCTGACCTCCCTAGCAGGCAGCCCGCCCCGCACGCCTTCTTCCTGCTCGCACTGCGGGCCCGGAGGCCTGTGGGTAACGAGGAGGACGTCAGAGCCAACTGCACCCCGGAGCCGGGGGGAGCCCAAGGGCTCGGTGCCCGTCACGTGCCTGTGTCCTTTGCTGCTCGCTGGTAGACCTTCCCTTCGAGAGATGTGAGGGCATTTGTCCTAAACAGAGTTCACGCAAGAAGAGGAGGAAAAAGGAGTCAAAATTCTCTGTAACCCTCTATCCCTCCCCATCCTACAGTAGAAGGTCCTGGGGGTGTGACACAGTAAATTGGTCTTGCAGGAGTGTGCAGATTTAGTGATATTTCCGGGGACTGTTGGTAATGACTAGAACGTTGCAGCACAGAGGAAATACAAAGGAAACACGGGCAGCAATCCGATGAGGAAACCAAAACTCTGCTCTCTTTTCTGAGACTAAAAAGCCATATCACTACTACATTGTACTCTCTATAGACGTTATAGTGCTGGATCTATTTGGTACCGTTACAAGAAATTCCTGATATCTTTATCTTTAAATCCTACTAAAGTAAAAAATTAAAAGATTCGTACAGATTATTTTAATGATTACTAATTATGTGTTTTTAAAAACATAACCCTGTTAATAATACTCAGGATGATATTCAGAATTAGCTTTCCCATTACTATTAATCATTAAATATTTCTAAACCTATGCTTGTGTACTACCTATGCTTTGTGTAGTATCAAAAGTTAAAGGAATCGATAAAAGCACATTTTTTATTGTTTTAAATGTCTTTTTGGAACAAGGGCTACCAAAGGAGGCCACTGAGGTTATTTCAGCTTGATTGTTTCCTGGGGAAGAGCAGTTAAATTGGTCTTTTTTTCCCCTCTCCCTACCTCTATCCTTCTTTTTCACCTTCCCATGTTAACCTTGTTTTGTTGATGAATAGTTGCCTTGACCTGACTCCTGGAGAATCTGGTAAATTGTTCCCTGGGATTTTAATTTGCTTCTAAAACTATGTTGACAAGAGTTTAAAATTAGTTATGTGAAGTAAATGCATAGTCTCTTCCTGCAAAACATTAGAAAATACATTGTTAATATTTGATCTGGAGCCATATTTAGGGAAATGAATATTAAAATAATAATTTACATTTTTAGCATCTAACATCTTCTGAGGTTCAGAACATGCTTTCTCTTCTCCCTAGAAAATGAACAGTCTAACACAATTCTCAGGACCAGAATTATGGAAAAAGAAATTTTATTTGTTTCTCTTTTGAAGATTAAACCCAAAAACTCCTTACATGATAAATCACTTGTCTTCAAAGTAAAAAAATCGCCAGTCTTAATAACAGGAGAAGACAGGCATTGCTTTGAACAAATGGATCTCAATAAGGAAGATTCTTAACCCTTCCCTTTTAAGACTGGGATTGCTGACATATGGCCATGGTAGAAAATGTAGCTCATCTTTCAAGTACTGATCTTGGAATCGTTCATCTGGTTTATGAATACTTAATGATTTTCACCGTGCCTGGTTGTAAGTGAATACAATGCATGAATAGGAATATTTTCTGGTGTAAAATGTCTCCCAGGGAACTAAGGAATATTTTTGCATCCCTTACGATCTTTTCCAGATAAGTACAGGGACATGGCAGTGCAGTGATTAATTTATGAAATTAATGTGAAAATTATAACTACCTGGCCTTTTAGAGCTCAATATACCATCGGGAATTTTCAAGGAAGGAAAAGTAAAGAGATCGAAGCTTTGTAGGTTTTGTTAATTCTAGTAAACATACAACGTGAAGTGAAACCTTTATGTGGAAAGTTGGGTATCAGACATGCACAAAGAGCCCTCTAGTGGCCAAACTGAAAAGTTTTGCCTATTTAACAGTTGATCCACTTAGTTATAAGTTTAAAAATGCTTTGTGGATTAAAAACAGTCTGCATTTAAAAAACAAAGCATGAAATTTAATACCCACCATCTTTCATTCTTACAAACGTTCAGCCCATATGAGTAAAGTCTGTGGTCAACTCACGTGTTAAGAGAGGTGTTCCCCGTGAGAAAGCTATTCCTTGCAGCCTGGTGTTAGAGCCACTAAAAATATTGTCTTTCTTCTAGAGCCAGATAAAAAGGATAGAGATGACTGGGGAGCGAGAACATTTTTAGATCTTTCAACTTACCCAAGATGGCTCAGTTTCCCATCCCAAGAACTGAAGTGTCCCCCAAATCTGCAGTGCTCTATGTCACTGCATAGCTACAAGAATATACATTTTTAATGTTATTTGCGATTTCTACAGCAAGTACTGATCAGAAACAATACCTGTTAAGAGAACATTTATGAAGCAAATTTCTTTAGTAGAATTCAGATTTCCATATGAAGATTTCACAGCATTCCAGTCTTGGGCCCTGAAGAAGGGAGAGGTATGTTTTCCTTACCATTCCCGCCCTTTCTGCCACTCCCTCTCCCCACTGCTTCACCCCACCCCCTGCGGTTGCGCAGTTGAGGGGGCGGAGGAGGGAAATACAGGAAAGTGATGTAATTCGTGACTCCTAGATGGTTGCCATGGCTACTAACAGGCATATTACGCTATCCGTAGAGTAAGAGCTTCTTTAATGCAGCTTTCAATGAAGAGTTTTCGGGGTGGGTTAGTCCACAGCCTACAGAGTGTGGATAGGCAGAAAGATGTCAGTCTTGAGCCCCCAGCACTGACTCTCCTTAAACTAAACCTAATAGGGAAATAAGTCATTTAGCAGGGTGGGAACCAGATGTTGCTGCTTCCAGGGCACCGCGAAGGACGCCCGCCTTCCCCAGAGTTTGAAAACCCATTGGTTGGTGGTGTCGTCACTCAGAGTGACATCACCGGTGAGAAAGAGGTGGAGCCATAGAGACGGCCTCTGGCCCTTCTATCTTGGGGAACTGAGGAAGCGGGGAAATCGGGAAGGGACTGGATGACTAAGGCAGCCGTTCCGTGGAGCAGGCCAGAGGAGGTAGGGGTGGGCGGGTCAAATCCTCAGACTGTACCTTGGTGGACCGTGCCTGCCTGTTTTCGTGCGGAGCCCACTTCCTCAGCATCCGGCTCCTCCTAACAGCGCCCACTTTCCCCCACAGCTCTGTTGCCCACCGCGCTTTCCTCAGCCCTTGACCTCGTCTCCCTGCCCGCCCATCAACTTTGGAGCTCAGCTCCCATTCCCCCTCCTTCCGTGCTTCGCTTCCTCCTTTCTCTTCCGTACCCCGTACCCTGCTTCTCGTCTCCCTTGCATAAACCTGGAGCGTCGGCAAGGTTTGTCCCAGTGCTTGCAGCAACCCCGTGCCAAAATACAAAGAACCTCCCCCACCGACCCCACCACAGTAAACACAGTCTAACACACAACGCACATAAAAGCCACCGACGGAGGGAGCCGAGAGCTCGTTTTGTCCCGGTATATCTTCAAGTGCTGGAAGCAAAGGTATCAGGGGGAGCCTAGGACCCCGCAGTGTGGGCGTGGGCGGTGCGTAAGCGCAGGTGGGTCTCGCCGCCCGGCCTGGCCCTGACCGCCGCCCTCCTGGAGTGCGGGTGGCAGGAGAGCCCACTGACAGAGGGATGGGGTATGATCTCCCTCCAGCATAGGACCACCGGCCCTTAGTCTAGGTTCATATATTCCAAACTATTATTTGAACTCTTGGTCAAAATGTCAGCTCTGTGGTTGAGGTTCCGGCCAGGAGAGTTCCTGGTACTCCTTTCCCACCTGCAGGAAAGCATAGTTGACATTATGAGATACTGAGGCTCATTGCTACCCTTGGCTGAGAAGCAGCACCACATGATGGAAAGAGGTTTTGGCAAAGCTTATTTGAAGGTATAACGCTCAGTTTGGGTTCTTTGGAGAAGCACTAGCCACTAGCACAAAACCCGTTCACCTCCGCTTGGCTATTAGTAGGTACCATGTATATTTTCACTGCTACATAATGAGATTAGTGAGTACTTTCAGTCTTTAAAGTTTGGGACAGCTGGGCTAAGTATGGAAAAAAGCTAATTGAAAACAAATCCAAGATATTTACTTTCTAACTATATTTTTAGGCTGTAAATAGGTATATCTTGCTCAGCTTCTTGAATACTTGGCAACCATTCAAGTAGATTGCTAGGAACTAATGACCAGAAATCAAAATGTCTTTGAAGACCATATCGCCATCTTGAGCATCATCATATTAAAGGTCATTTCTATTTGTTGGGATCCCAAAGTAACATTCTCAAATCCAGGGCTAAGAAAACATTATTCATGATTGTTGGAAATGAACTTCAGATTTTACACCTTGAATTGAATATGCAAATATTTTTTCCTTCGATAGTTAAAAACACTTAAATCCTGATTATGTTTACAATTGATGTTTTTGAAATACTGAATTGTTTACTTACTCCTTCTGCCTAGGTCCTATGTTGGCTAGTTGAGACAAATATAAATATGGCCTTCTACAGTTGTAATACAGTCTTAGCTATTGCCCGAACACGGTAAGCCTTAGAATTCCCCCCAATATTTATATTAACTTTCTGCTTCTAGATGGAAAAGAAATATATAAAAAGGATAGACTTAGTACACAATTAAAGTTTTGTTAGCTTTAACTATGTTCGTTTTTAGGAAGCTGAGATTTTAATGTATTTAAACTTAGCCCAAATCATCTGTATGCTTTAGAACTCAGACTGAGTAATTTTGTAGATGTGTACTACAGGTAAAATAATAGACACAATGATTTTTGAGTGACGCCTCTGTAATTGATAAATGATACATAAGGTATAAAAAAGATTAAAGTGGCTGGCAAACAAGTCAGTCCTAGGGCCTGTATCTGCCCTAGCAATGTCTGTTATCACTTTTTATTCCGAAGAATATTCACTGAGAACTTGCTATGTGCCAGATACATTGTATATTTTCCCTTTGGCCATTCAAAAAGTGTTTTATCTTGACATGCTTCAAAAACAAAGAATGGAAAAAGCCATTTCTTTGCCAAAAGAAGTCTTTTTGCCAGGAACTTCCTTTGCCTAGATGATCTTATTTTTTATTTTCAAACAATCTGATGTGCTAGTTTAACTGAAGATTGTGAACTGTTGCAAAACTGGAATGTAGAGATACCTGGCTGGTGTGCCCAATTCTAGTTCTTACTCCTAACGTTCTTTGGGAATCTTAGGTGAAGGTTCATTTTGGCTGTAAGTGCCTCACATATGAGGAAGTCCATGGGCACTATATAGACGAGGCAGTACTACATGATTGGCTAGCCCCTACAGGGACCGTGAAGTGTTTCATTCAAACATTATTCCTATTGTCAGTAGAACAGCTGAAGATACACATCTTCCACCTATTTTAGGACAGTAGATAGAGAGAGACAGAACTTTCAAACATAACCCCTGGCAGGAAAATGTTAGCTATTAGATTTTTAAATGAACAGTTGCAGAGTTTATAACTTCTAATATAGCAATTATTCTTAGGAATTAACTTATTAATGTTTCTCATAGAGTATATCATTCAACCATAAAACATACTGTTTTTCAACTAGAGTAAAAAGTTATATTTCACTCACTAATGAATATCATCTGCTTTTAAAATATAGGCTTTAAAACTATTGTTTTATTTTAACCAGATACAGTATCATTTCTTTAACTTTTAAGTTTATGATAGTTTGTGTTCAACTCAGAGGATGTTGCTCTTTATTCCAGGTTCCCTAGCCATTTTGTCCATCCTACCTGCTCTTCTTATTCCCCATCACTTGCATTTCTTCACTTGCCAGATTCTCATTTAAATAAAACATATGCGAAGAACTATGGAAGGAAGAAGTACTCCTATGCTAGTCAGTCAGGCAATAAAGTACTTTGCTTACAAACTGGAATAGTACAAAAGCTACACACATCAACTTGCTGGCTACAAGAGGTCCCTGGTAAACCTCAGCTGGAGCAAACCCCCCAAAAGCCACAGGTGACAAGCCCTCAGCCCACAAAAGAAACTGGCACGAAGACTAAGGAAGAAAAGCAATCTTATAGACAAAAAATTGTGGATGAACTTAAACATTATTACCATGGATTCTCTTTGCTTTGGATTGACACCAAAGTTGCTGCCAGAATGGTTTGGAAGCTGTTGCATGGACAGGTGCTGACCAGACGAGAGAGACGAAGGGTACGCAAGAATCATATTTGAGAAAGAAATGTGAAGTTAAAATGAACTATTTAGGAACCAAGTTTTAAACTCAACTTAAAATTCATTTAAAAATTGCGAAGTAGGAATAGTAACTGATGTAAGAACCAGGATTTCTTACTGAGTTTCCTACTTGTCTTCAACTGACTTGCTGTACAACTTCAGGCAAAGTTCTTAAAATTTGTATATATTTGCCTATAGAATGGTTATATGTGTGTTTTCCAATCTCTCCAAGGAGTTGAGAGTTTGATCGGTGCATCTGAAGTACAAACTGTTGTTAATATACTAAGCATATGCATTTTAAAAACCAGTTTTAACTGATACTATGTTGTTAAAATATGGATCCCGAAGTTAGATGAAAGCTAAGAGATACCAATAATATGTTTTGATTGTCACAGACTTCCTTGAGGATATCTCATAAATATTTAGAGCTATGGTAAAAAGAGGAAAACCCCACCTTTCCATTTTATAAACAGCTGCAGAAAATGTCTTGTGTTTTTAACACTTTAAGAACCTAAGCAAGCTTTTCAGTTTTAGGGTTTTTTTGTTGTTATTTGGGGCAAGTCCTAAAATAATGAATATTGCATATGCATTTAATTCTTTAGCTTTTGAGAACTTGTGCTGATTTCTTCCGCCTGGTTCCATTTATGGTGTTCATAATTGTACCCTTCATGGAATTCTTATTACCAGTGTTTCTGAAACTCTTCCCAGAGATGTTGCCATCAACTTTTGAAAGTGAATCTAAAAAGGTATGTAGGATTTTTAAACTTTTTTTTCCTGAGAATTTTTATAAAAGTTTATTTGAGCCCAAACTGATGATATATGGAGGAAGATCTCGAATGTTCCCAGATATTTTAAACTTTTCAAAAAAGTTAATAGACTTTATTTTTCAGATTTACAGAAAAATTGACTGGGAAGTACAAAGAATCCCCAGATACTCCCTCCCCCATTTTCCCTATTATGAACATCTTGCATTAGTGTGGTACATTTGCTATAATTGAAGAACTAATATCTATATATTATTATTAATTAAAGCTCACACTTTACACTAGGGTTCACTTTTTGTGTTGTACTCAACCTGTGGCAACCACTAATCTTTTCACTGTCTCTATAGTTTTGCCTTTTCCAAAATGTCATATAGTTGGAATCATACAATATGTAGTCTTTTCAGATTGGCTTCTTTATTTAGCAATATGCATTTAAGTTTCTTCCATGCCTTTTCATTGCTTATTTTTCTATCACTGCGTAATATATCATTATATGGACGTGCTACCGTTTATCTCATTCACCTTTTGAAAGACATCTTGGTTGCTGCCAGTTCTTGACAATTATGAATAAAGCTGCTAAAAATACCCATGTGCAGGTTTTTGTGTGGACATAACTTTTCAAGTCATTTGGGTAAATACCTAGGAGAGCAATTGCTGGATTATATAGTAAGAGTGTGTTTAGTTTTGTAAGAAACCAATAAACTGTCTTCCAAAGTAGCTGTACCATTTGCATTTCCATCAGCAATGAATGAGAGTTTCTGTTGCCTCACATCTTCATCAGCATTTGGTGTTGTCAGTGCTTTGAATATTAGCCATTCTAACAGGAGTGCAGTGCTATCTCATTGTTATTTTAATTTGCAATTCTCTAGTTACATATGATGTTGACCATCTTTTCATATGCTTATTTGCCATCTATATATCTTCTTTTGGGAGGTGTTTGTTCAAATCTTTTGCCTACTTTTTAATGGGGTTGTTAATTTTCTTATTGTTGAGATTCAAGAGTTCTTTGTATATTTTTGGTTACAAATCCTTTATCAGATATGTGTTTTGAAAATATTTTCTCCCATACTGTGGCTTGTCTTTTCCTTCTCTGAGCTGTCTTTCGCAGAGCAAATGCTTTTAATTTTAATGAAGTACAACTTATCGAATTTTTCTTTCTTAGGTTGTGCTTCTGGTGTTATATCTAAAAACTCATTGCCAAACCCAAGGTCACCTAGTTTTTTCCCTAGATTTTCTTGTAGGTATTTTATAGTTTTGAGTTTTATATTTAAGTCTATGATCCATTTTGAGTTAATTTTTCAAAAAGGTGTAATATTAGTGTCAAGAGTCATTTTTTTTGCACGTGGATATCCCGTTTAACTGGCTCCATTTGTTGAAAAAAACTATCCCTTCTCCATTGAACTTTAACTTGTTTTTAATTGTTGAAAAATGAAACAAACATAAATCAACTGTTACTGCAGTGACTAGTCGAACAGCAGGCACGGTTTATTCAGCAAAAGGACCCATTAGTCCTCGAGAAGAGGGTGTCCTCATTGATGGTCACTACAAAGGTGAAGGGCTAGAAAACCAAGGCAACTCCTTCATTCTCTTTATTCTGTGCCACTCTACTAGCCAGTGCTATGAAGATATAAACACAATATTACGAGAGGACAAAGAGGGCAACTTTTAAATCAGATTGGGAAATGTTTCACAGAAGAGTTAACTGTGGTACTGAGACTTAAAGAGTGGTAGAATTTTGACAGTGTTTGAAAGGCATTCTAGATAGAAAGAAAAGGACTTAAAATGGCTTCACAGGGTAAAAGAGTATGATATAACCAGAGACCACTAATTGGTTCTTTATGGTTGGAATACAAGGGGATCAATGGCAGAAGATAAGATGAAAGTGATGTGTTGGGTCAGGCTGGAAAGCGTCTGCCACCCTAAGGGTTTTGGACTTTACCTTTGACAGTGGTAAATAATAGAAAGTAAATTTCAGCAGAGGGTGGGTAACATGATCAGATCTGTGTTTTAGAAAAATAATTTTGTTGGCAGGAAGGATTGAAGAGAGTAGAGCCAAAGGAGGGAAATCAGCTGGAATAGCAATAGCATGAGAAAGCTTCAATTATGAATGTGGCATTGGAAATTAAAACTTAAAAATCTGTTTGAGATACATTTAAGGTGTAGAATCAAATTGCAATATTTAACTGCCTGGCAGAGGTTGAATTTACTTATATTAAAAGTAATCAGCATGTAGAGTTAATACCATGGGATTCCAAGGAAAGCGTTAGTGAGTACAGAAAGGTGATTCATCTAAATATTCCTCTTTCTTCAACACTACTCATAGTGATGTGTACATATATACACATCATGGCCACGGTCCCCAGAAAATACTTTCTTCTTTGCTTTGTTCCATGAAAAGAAAGATAGCAAACAAATGAGATTGCTAGCTTTCTAATTACATAAGATCACAGCATTATGCATTTCTCTTTCATAGTACTTCTCCATTATACCATAACATTAATTTGTGGAATTATAGCATTATTGTTAGACACTAATGTTTGTTTCTCATATTAGACTAGAGGTTTCATGAGGGCAGGAATTCATATCTGTTTTTGCTTATTTTACCTCTAGCACCTGGCACATGGTAGATGCTCAAAAAATGGATGAATGGATGGATGGATGGATAGATGGATATGGATATGGATATGGATGAATGAAATGAAATGGATGACTAAATGAGTTCTACTTATAGTATTTCCATTGTGTGACTCTTTTGGCTGAGTCTTTTAAGACAATGATTGCTGTGATTGGGTCATCATTAGAATCTCTTGGGCAACTTAATACGTATATATAGAACATATATATTTCTCTTTTTCTCTACCCCTTCTAAGTCCTGACTATGGTTATTTCGAAAATGCTACCACGCTGCATTTCTGATGATGAACAAGGATTTAGAAATTATGATCAACATAGTGTCTTAAGAGTATACACTTAATTCTCTTCTGTGTAGTGCTTTGTTCATATTTGTTATAGCCCTTAACTTATTGTATTGTAATAAATTGTGTCCGTTTTACATTACTTAAACGGTAAGCTATTTTTAGCATAGAGTTAATTTTCTAGTTTTCTTTCTTTGTGTCCCAAATAAAATCCAGGACCACTCAGAAAGAGGGGTGGCTCAACTAGTAACCTAGATGGTTTGCATCAGGTTAAGAAATAGTATCTCATTCTAAATAATGACAAAGCCTCCCTTTGAGGATACATTTTGGATCTATTAAATATTTATGATCATTGTATCTGTGAGAAATAAAAGGTAAGATTAAGGAGGCAAGTCACAAATAGAGGCTACTTTTTATTTGCTCTTGTTCTCACAAAACCCATTCAATTAGGTATGAAAATAATATGAATATAAAAATAGGAATGAACAATAACAAGGTGATAATTATTTTTTTCTCATCTTTATCTACTAGGTTGTAATCATGAAGGACTGATTAACTTTTTCCTCTTTTATTAAGGAGGAAAAACAGAAAAAGAAAATGGCCGCAAAGTTGGAAGTAGCAAAATTTCTTCAAGAAACAATTACAGAAATGACAAGGAGGAACAGGACCAAACTGGGAGAGGACTCTACACGGTTCTCATCCTATATCAAACAGGTGTCAGTCTCTTATATAATACCAAACAGCTTCTGATTTGGGAGTTATATGAATAATGCATGTCACCATGGATCTTCCAAATTGTGCACAATCTCTGAATTTGCAAAAGTTATGTACATATACTATATGGCAAACATTGATAGTAGTTTGCAGAAATGTCTATCTTAAAGCAACCACTGCACTGAAGACATTGATAATTTCTTGGAAAGAACAGTAGAATTAGAGTCAAACTTCTGAACTACTCCTGATTTTTCAGTTGATTTAGGCTGACTTCAAACAGATTTCTTTACTCCTCTTTGTACCACAGGGGCCATTTCTAAATGTAAGATAGAATCCATAAATGCTTTGACATGTCTTTTCAATAGAATGCTGAGAAGGCTAATTTAAGTAGGAAACACATTTTAATTAGCCTTTTTGTCGCACTGCATAGGTCCAAACAGGCCACAAGCCCAGCACAAAGGAGATAGTTCGCTTTTCCAAACTATTTGAGGATCAGCTCACCCTGGGGCACTTAGATCGACCTCAGCTGGTTGCACTTTGCAAACTGCTAGAATTGCAATCCTTTGGAACCAACAATTTGCTCCGCTTTCGGCTCCTGATGAGACTGAAGTCTATAAAAGCAGATGATGAAGTAAGAGCTTAACTATAGCTATAGAGGATTAGTAAAGACATTGGAAGATATCTCTTAGGGTGGCTTTGTGTTGAAGTGCAGTATCTTCTGTTAGGTTTGCTCACGGACCATTTCTGGCAAAATGAGAGGTTTAAACAACCATTACTATGACAACCTGAGCTTTGATTACTCATTTCAGGAGTTGTTTATCATACTCTGACCCATTTTCTTTAGAAGGCCATCAAGGGCAGTTAGTAATTTAGATGTCTTGGCTGGGACTAATCTAAAGCAGATAGAACCTACAGGGAAGGAACGGCAGCTCAGTAGGTTCCTGAGTCTTCTCTTGCTAAAGACAGCCTTCTACCCACACACCTCTGCCCCCTCCCGCAGAGCTCATGCCAAAGTAAATATTCTGCTCGGTGAGTTGGCCTGGTAAGAAGGGGTGGCAAAGCGTAATGCAGGGAGGGGAAGCAGAGCCTAGACATCTTATGGAGGAAAGGCACCATTTGGGCTATAACTACTATAAACTCCTTTAAAAAATGGAAAGAATCTTTCTTGAATCGGAATCAGCTGCTTTCAAGCATTTTGCCTGAGGGAGCAGGATTCTCAGAACTGAGAAGCATGTTCCCACCGGCCCCGTTCAGATTTCGATTGTTGCTTTCAGAACTTTGAAATAAACAGTACTGGTCCCAGAAGTAGCATAGTCGGGGACCACACCAAACAGAAACTGTGTTACTTATTGAAGGATTTTTGTGGACCAGAAGGTTAGGGCTATTTCTAGGGTGGTGATAGGGGAATAGTAGGGGAAGAACACTGCTGGGACATGCAACAGATAGTAAGCTTTTCAAGTGAAATATTTTTTTAAATGAATCCTAATGCTGCCATGAAAGGGAAGAGTAGAGATGTCACAAGCAGCTGAAATGAAAACCAAGAGGGGAAATAATTACTTTGGTGATGATGTTGGGGAGAAGTTATGTAAACATCTCTGATATCACTAATACCTGTTGGCAGGATTCCCTTCGTCTCAACTGCAACACCTTCCTAAGTCATTTGGTTCTTTTAGGCTCCTGGCCTTTGCAAAAGTCAGTGCAGGAGACAAAGAGTGAAAGCATCAGATCTTTTGTTTCCCTGATTTTTTGCGATTTAGGAATTAGGTAAAATTGGAACAAAAAGATCCACCACTATCATTCCTTAACATTTCTTTCAGATAATTGCCCAAGAAGGGGTGAATGCTTTGAGTGTGTCAGAACTACAAGCAGCTTGTAGGGCCCGAGGGATGAGATCACTGGGTCTCACTGAGGAACAACTGAGACAACAACTCAGAGAGGCAAGTAGCAGCTTTCTTGGGCCCTTTTTACTTGAACGCTCCTACAATTTGCAGATTTTATTTTGTGATTTCTACTTGTCAAGTGAACCATCTTACTTATTTTGCCTTATTTAATTGAGCAGTGGGATGCTAAAGCAGCTAGAATTATTTTGACTGAGACATGGTACTGTATTAGTTTTCTATTGGTACATGAAAAGGATCACAAACTTATTGGCTTAAAACAACACCCATTTGTTATCTCAGAGGTCAGAAGTGCAGGCTGTGTTCCTTTCTGGGGGCTGTGGGGGAAGACTCTTCTTCCAAGCTCATTCAGTTTGTTGGCTGAATTTGGTTCCTTGCAGCTGCAGGACTCAGGTCCTTGTTTCCTCCCTGGCTGTCGGCCCTGGGCTATACTCGGTCCTGGAGGCCACCTGCATCTGCAAAGCCGGCAATGGGAAACTTCTCACGTGGAAACCTATCCTCCGCCCCCCACCACCCATGCTTTAAATCTCAGACTGCTCTTGTTTTTGATCTCTAGCTCCAGATTTAAAGGCCTCATCTGATTAGGTGAGACCCACCCAGATAATCTTCCTATCTTAAGGTCAGCTGACTTAGGACCTTAATTATATCTGCAAATCCTGTCTTAGCAGCACCTAAGTTAGTAGTTTGATTGAATAACTGGAGTTCTGGGTACACCAGAGACTAGAACTCTCAGGAACACCTTAGAATTTTGCCTACTCCAGGTATTGTAAGGACTTGGGCAAAATCTCTAATACAAAGTCTATTATCTGTGTGAGTCCATTGGAGGTCTAATCTTGCCAGGTGTCTCACCTGGACTTGCTTTCTCAAGTAGTGTCTCAAGCCAATGTAAAGTGTAGCTTTGGTAACAAATGTTTAATATTTTCTCTCAAACAGCATATTTTAACCAAGAGCATTAATGTTTTAAAACAAAAGAGTAACTCCTAATAAAAGTCTCATTTCTATAACTGTAAAAAGTGCTATAAAGTATACACAAATTATTTGGGGATAGGAGCCATTATTGTGATTTTGAAACCACGTCAGGTAGCTATTTCCTCTTACATGCTGGACCTGCTCTAGTTGGAAGATGACCATATTATAGAGAGGTACTAAAATAATTTATGTCTTGAACACAAAGTATTAAGTGGATTCATACTGTTAAATTGCTTTTTTGAGAGGGAGTACCATTTTACAATCACCACTACAAAGGAGTTGAGGATACTAATCCAACCATTTGATATATGCAGCTCTATGTACTATTCAAAAAATCCTATGTTAGGATGTGGGCAGACGTTTCATAGAAAGGAAAATCTAAAAATGATAAACATGAAACATCTTAACTTCATAAGAAGATAAAACTATGAGATACCACATTCACCTATTATCTTGGCAAAGATCAGAGTTTGATAACACACCTTATTGGTGAGGGTGCGGAGAGAGGGGCACTCATGAATTTCTGATAAAAACCTCCATAGAGGTTTGGCAATAGCTTTTTTAAAATACATTTACCTAAGAATTTTACTTCTAGGAATCTATCATATGTTCCTGCATATGTACAAAATGACATATCCATTGCGGCCTTTTTTTATAACAGCAAAAGATTAGAAACAGCTTAAAATCCATTAATACGAGTATAGTCAAATTAATCATGGCATTTCTATAAAATGGAATCCTTTACAGATGTTTAAAAAAGGAGGAAGCTCTATATCTACTGATGAGAATCAATCTCTAAGATGAACTATTTCAGTGAAAAAAAGGAAGGATAAAAGAGTGTGTATGTGTTACTTGTTGTGTAAAGATAAAAAAACGTATAAATATGTGTATTTGTACATGCATAGGATATCTCTGGAAGGTTATATAAAGAACTGGTACCAGTCGTTGCTTCTAGGGAAGGAAATAGAGTAGTTAGAGAAGAGGGGTAGAAGGCAGGCTTATTTTCATTGATTACATTTTATCTTTAATCTTGTGTGTATATTATTGATCTAAAAAAATATGTTTTTTAAAGCTTAGCCAATCTGGTACTTGAAAACTTACATCTCATTCTCATTTTAATGTTTATTTCTTTGGTTATGAATGAGGCTGATTTATTCTTTAACGTTATTTACTTTGTGTCTAAGAGAAGATACTTAGCTTCTTTGATCCACAATTGGTTTGAAAGTTTAAAATTGAACATTCTTTCTCTGAATCTGAGAGTGATCCTACTGAAGTGAGCCAAGTTGCAGGGTACAACCACTGGTGCAGAAGCCAGTTCTTCTCATCATTCTGCCATTACTTATCAGCATGCACCTGGGGAAGCTGTAAAACCAGAGAAGTAGTAGATGATCATGGTTCACATCCAGTTCTAACATTCTGTGATTCTGTCATGTTTTATTTCCCTCCTATTCTCCAGTGGCAGGACCTCCACCTGAAGGAGAATGTCCCTCCTTCTCTTTTGCTCCTGTCACGAACCTTCTACATGATAGATGTGAAGCCAAAGCCAATTGAGATCCCACTAAGTGGGGAGGTGAGTAACTGGGCACTTGGAGAACCTGGATTTCCATAACAAGGGCCTCTCCTCAGAGGTCTTATTTCCTATTGTAATTGGAGTAGGCATTAACTTTGGTGTATCTTTTGGAATTTGGTCCAACTGGCCTTAAAAATCTTTTTAAAGTTCTTAAAAAAAAAGAAAATTAAAATCACTGAAACTACCTCTAGCTATAGGACTGTTACTGCCTTTAATTCCAGCTTGATTTAGGAGTTTTACTAATAGGAGTTCAGTTTATTCTTTCTTCTTTACAGTCTAGTCTTCACTAGCATACGTTGTTTGGCCCACCACTTTTTCTCCTTTGAGACTGAATGTTTCTATTCTATCATGTCTCTTTCATTTGCCCAGATTCCTATTCATTATTAAGCAATGAATGGCCAATCTAGAATGTAAACTTTTTATCTTCCTTTAACTCATTTTCTTAATCATTTTTTCTTGCCTTTAACTCAGCAGTTTTTCTCATGGTATTTTACTGAAGAACCCAGTATTGGCCCAATTCCTAGAACATCTTGTTCTGGGTTCATCAGAACAGGCCTCTCACTTTTCTACTGTGTGGCTTCATGTCTAACTCAGAAACTGCATGGGTGAGGTAGGAAAGACTATTATAGAAGATGCTGCACATGTGGTTTAGTAGATTAGACTAAGTGCTCTGGAGCGAGGACCAACCATTTTAAATCTCTGTTATGCTGTTGACTGCTTGGACAAGCCAAGGGAAAGCATATGAAGTCCAGCATGAAAAATGCACTGCAGGAGACACCACCTTGCTTCCACTTTTCATAGTTCCAGAGACTAATTTGAATTTCAGTTTTGTCCAGGAAGCATTCTAGGGAGACCAGGAGCAATTTTGGAGCACAGATTATGTTCTGAAAGGCAGGCTTCTGGGTTCTTATTCTATCTTTGGTCTTTAAGACAGGCCAAAGTTATTTGTCATTCTTGACTGCTGTCAGGAGCAAGGAAATCTTGGAATAGCACAATACTTCAAAGCTAAATCTGGATTCTCAGGATTATTGTAAATAGGCATAAACTCTTTATCCAGATGTTGATGTCTGGTATTCTTGAGAAAGACCTAGGAATTAAGGACAAAATAACAACCTCCTAGGCATTTTATTGGTTGTTGTTTTTTTTTTCAATCCACATTTTTAAACTTCCATTCTCCATATATACAAAATAAGAACAAGTAGCATGCTAGGTTCTGTAAAAATTTAGAGATGTCAAATTGAATATTCTATAATTTTGGATATATGTAGCTCTTTTCTCTCCAAAGTACACAAAGAAATTATTTCCAAAGAGCAGCGCTATATATTTATTTTTCAAATCTAATTAATATAATTCTTAAAGACAGTTTAGCTATTCTAAATTACCACCCCTCCCTCCATTTTCCTCATGTTTCAAGAGCTTCTGTTAAGCAGCACCTACCATTTTAATAAACCAGGCGACTTTATCATTTATTATTAGACACCAAAAATGATAGATGTCAATTTTGACCAAGTATATCAGTTCTATTAGAAACTGATTCATAACTGAGAAATGGCAAGTTTTGGGGGTTTTTTCAAGATGGAGAATAGGACCAGAATTGGCAATCTATTAGCTTGTTGATGACTGAAGATCTAGAATCTAATTAGAGTGCAACTTTTGTATGTAGGGTACTCAAAACTCAAAGATAATACTAAGTTGCTGTTTCAGGGACGTACTTCATCTGTTACTCATAAAGGTTATACTTGGAAGAAGTTAGGGATTTAGTGGAAAGCAAATTGTGCTAGAAAGCATTGACGACTGTAGAAGCGATTCAGAGTTTCGGGAAGAGCAGAAAGCTTATACTTATATATTTCTCTCCCTAGGCTCCAAAGACAGATATTCCTGTGGAATCATCACCTACTTCCCCTGAATCTAAAGAGAACATGGTGGATTTAGCACCTCCACTGAAGGATACTAAGGTTAGACCATACTTTTCATATGATTAATTAGATTAAACAATGAAAACAAGGTAATTTCTCTATTTTAAACACCCTTAATGAAACTGAACTTCAGTGGTGTTTTTAATGAGGAATATTTATTGTACTGTTTGATTTGTTTTTAAGAAAGTTCAACATTTGGCTATATGTAATTAGGTTCTAGATTTTGTCTCTTGAATTCTGTGCCAGAATATGAAGTATTTGTTGCTGGTTCCTGGTAGTATGACTGTAGATCTAATGCACATTGTTTTAAATCAGTAATCCAACTCAGTTCTGATGTTTAAGGATGAAAAATTTATGCAACTACCACCAATTACATCATCACCCATAACACCGTCAATACCTATTTCATTACCTAAGGGATCCATCATTTCTGCTAAAGAAGCTGTAAGTATTATCTAAAAAAAGAAAATCCCTTTCTCTCTAGTTGTTTTTAAGGGCAGTGAGAATATAGAATTAAAACTATTGTAAAACACTGTACAGTTCTTCCTGTTGTAGGAAGTTGTAGGCTGAACTTTAGTCATTTTATAACCACTACATTTTTAAAACTCAGTTATCCAAAAGTGAAAAAAAAAAAACCAACCAATGCAATTGTGAATCAGACCTAAACATGTTAAGTCTAGAAGCTAATTACAATATAGGCAGATTCTTATTTTCTTTTGTGCCAGATGGAAATAGTTCCCATATGTTGTGTATTTCACACAGGATTCATATGTCAGGAAATACTAGCAGGAAAGCAATTTAAATCTTAAGAGAAATGTGTGTAAATAAGAAATTACTTATCTATCCACTTTTTCCATTTGGGTAAAGGAATTTGGGGCAAGAGCAGAAAGCATGACACAAGTAAACAGAAAGGGGGTCATGGGAGAGAGTTAAACTGTGGAATGAGTGGCTCTACTGGTTCCTAAGGACCAAAGAAGAACACCAGTGAACACACAGATGGGCTAAACATCTAGAGGCCTGGTTTTAATGTCTTTATTTTTATTAACCAAGGTAAATTATAAACTCAGATTTGACTTTGGGTCTGTCATTATTTTGATCAAGAAAGTCAAAGAGGGATTCCTAAAGAACTTACACCAGTGCCTAAAGTCCTTATGTTTTGTACCTAGACACTCCAGGCCAAGTCACAAAAGACAACCCAGAACAGCAAGGCTAGTTCCAAAGGAGCATAAGGACTATTGGAGGATGAAGCTCTCTCTCCGACTTCCTGCCCTCAGCAGTGGCATCCATAAAGGACCTCCCAGCTAAGACTATCTTGTTTGGTTTGAGAAGAGGATCAACCACTTAGTCCTTGGAGCAGTCCTTTGAGGCCTTGTAACCATTCCAAATGATGTCAGGTCAGCAGTGAGACCAAGTTCAGACCATTTAGAAAAATATAATTAGAAAGAATTTCCTCTGTACCATTATGTCATCCCACTAAACTTTGTGTAAAGCCCTCCCCATATTGTTTTTATCAGCTTCATATATGTGCCCCCATCCTTTAAGAGAAGAGGTTATTTGCATAATGGAATTAGCTTAGAGCCTTAGATACCTCTGCTTCCTGTGGCTTGGTAACCTGAGTAAGACCATGGAAACTCCAAAAACCATTCTAAGAGCCCCTGACCAACTTTTTCAGTAGGACTAGTACCCTGCAAACAAAGTACCTTATGAGATGGAGTGGATATCCTCCCTAGTAAGGTCTTTCTGAATATAAAGAAAAAGCTTCTTGGAGAATAAAATAGGGAGTTAAACAGACTGGCAATCAAAAAGGTTTGGCTGCCGCTTGGCTGTTCTGAGACATCCCCCTGTGGGCTTGCAGGAATCTGGGAGGCTGCCATGATTCTAGCACATATGGCTTTCATTAGCCACCATTTTGCTAGGAAACATAATTAAGGGTTTAAGACTTAACCATTTGTTTGTGCTGGGCGTGTTTTTCTGGTCTGTTTGTCTTTCACAAACAAGACTATTTGTTAGTCACAGAGGTTGTTAAAGTCTGATATAATCCCTGTGCTACCCAGTAACAAATATTATGTTCAGATACTTATGTTTGGTGTTTTCAGTATTGTCAAAACTGAAAAAAACAAAAACAAAAACCCAACATAATAGATTGCCATGCAGCTGACCAACAGCTCTCTTCCCTTGGGGAGCGCTTAGCAGGGAAAAGGTATTTTGGCCTGTGGGTGATGAAATTAGATTTTTTTTTACTTCCTGTGAAATTGAAAGCAGTTAGATGGGAATTAATTAAACCAAGTAAAAGTCAAATCTCCCTGTCTGGGATCACCTAAATAAGGACTGTCATCAGCATTTCATGGTAGGGATATGTGCTTTTACAAGCTTCCTAAACCTCCTCTCCACCGGAGGACAAGCCACACCATGCCCTACTAATGAACTCCAGTTCCTTGAGAATGATGAATCCCTACTATGCAACATTCCACAGATCTTGCCATTGGCCTAGCAAGGTGATTCACAATAAATTTCTCCACTTTTAAAATGATGGGTGTTTATTTTAATTAGTTCACATTTCAAGTGTTGAGTGTGGGAAATGGATTGACTACTTGTTCAATCCTGTTTAAGCTGAATGATTCATATGTACTGTTGGGCTGCAATTCTTTCTGGCTTTCTCTATGAGCAGAATGGGAATGATTAGGTCAAGGGACCCCCAGTTGGCCTTCACCTGTTTTTGCTTCATAAACAGGCATCTAAGACACTTAATACACACCTCTCTTCCCATTCTCACGACAGTTCAGTCAAGGTTGTTTCCTTGTTCTCATCACTTAAGAGTGGTTGGCTGCTGGCTTCCACGATTGTTAGATCTAGCCCCATGCTGACACTGCGCTAGTGGTATTTTGCTAAATGATCAACAACCAACTCTGGTAGGGGGCCCTGATTCATAGCATTAGCAGATTCCAGTGATGTAAATACTGGTTGATTTCAAGCTACTAACAGCAGGTCACTGAACATGAGTTGGGAAGTGATGTACACAATTGGCTCAAGAACCAGCCCCAGCACACCACTGATCTAGCTCCTACTAGAGTAACAAGAGACAATTAAACCTCTAGTTGTCATGTGCATTAAACGTATCACTTCTATGCACCAGCATAAACATCTTGAAGGCAGTGCAGTATAAATAGTTCTAGATACTGTTAAGTAGAAACCTAGAGAGAACTTGCCCAAGACTGAGTCTTCCTGAACGTTTGTGTTCTTGCTGACCTTCCCTGGCTCTCAGCCGAAGAAATGGAAGGCTATGTCAGGTTGCTGCAAAGCTTTCTTCTTTCCCTGCTCTCTACTTGTGCCTGCAGATGCATATGCCTTGGCAGTACTAGCGGCTAATAATCTCATTGAGTATAATTTTAGGCATTTTCTAAAACTCAGTCTCAGTGATGATGTCAGACTTGGCTTGTAGCTTAGACATTGAGAATTCTGCTATAATGGAGAGGTTTTGGTGGCACTTGACATTCATGGACTTTGTATTTGTTCTGTGTCTAATACTGTATTTGTCATTACAAAATTATGAGTCATATTGGTGATATCAAATACACGCTCTGTAATACTAAAAACTATGCTAAAGATCTGCCAGTCAACACCAGTACATACCTACTAATGAACTTCAAAGCCGATTGGCACATTACCTAATGTTGACTGAGATGTTGGCCTGCTGGCTCCTCCCAGTGGCCGCTGGTACACACAGCGACTTCACTGTCATTGAGATAGATTTCTTGCTTCATCCGGGATTCAATCTTACTTACCTGAGATCAATACATTACATTAGCAGTACCAAGGGACTGATGATCCCCAGCCTATGGCAATTAGAAAAGGCAGAAAGGCAATATTGATTTATGCTGTGGTGATCCCAGGCCCTAATCTTTTAACCCTCAGGAAACCAGACAGACTGTGCCTTGACAGCACGTTGTTGTCATTAGATAAACTGGATTCTTTTCCTCAGGAGACTCAATCTGGTCATCTAAGTAAACTGGTCATTTCATTTTCTCATAGGTCAATTTCACTATCTTTTATTAGACAGAGGGCTCAGTCTCTGGGGAAATTCGTGGGTGATTTGAGTAGTAACATCAAGGACATCACTGTTATAATAGTGCCTTATAATTCTCCAGCATCTCTCCTGAAAGCATATAAAACCCTTTATAGAGCCTCCTTCCATTCCCACAACAATGCTTCAAGGGCCAAGGCAGAAATTATCATCACTATTTTCCAAGGAAAGACACCACTATAAGGTCTCACAGCAAATGGTTTTAAGAGCTAAAATTCATTTCCTGGCTCTGTTCACCAAATTGTGCCTTCATTAAGCATAAACACAAACTGTAATATGTTGACAGTTGTATATCAGAGACACAAGGATAAGAGAACTAATTTACAATAGTGGCCAACACTTCAGCTGCCAAAAAATAGCTAGCTCAGAAAGTAAATTTAAAAGCAGCAATCCCATTTTC